CCAGCCTTGCCAAGGCCTGGGAGGGTGTGTCCCGGGCGGGGACAGCGAGGGCTGGGTGGACACAAGGGACGGCTGTGAGGTCGGTGCTGGAGTCGAGGGGGCCGGGTGAGCGGGTGGGGGGAGCTGGGGGTCAGGGGTCAGTCAGCAGGGCGAGTCAGGGAGGACCTGGCAGGGGTCCGCATTTCATCCTGAGCGAGCTGGGGGGTTGAGGAGGGTTTCCGGGCACAGAGGGATGTGGTTTGAGGGATGTGTTAACAGGTTGCCTTGGCTGCAGGTTGCAGGGAAAGAGCTTGGGGGGGTGGGGGGGCAGGGGTCCCACCATCGGGGGTGGGATGGTTTTACATGTAGGTGTTTTGTGTTTCTTTTAAGATTTATTTATTTATTTAAGAGAGAGAGAGAGAGAGAGAAGGGAGGGGCAGAGGGAGAGGGAGGGAGAAACCTCAGCAGACTCTGGCCAGATCCCATGACCTTGAAATCATGACCTGAGCCGAAACCAGGAGTCGGATGTTGTGCCAGATGCGCCACCCCGGCGCCCCTACATGGAGGTTTTATTATTATTCAGGCCCAGTGAGGCCCACAGACCAGGAGACACGTGCCACTGAAGACACAACGTGTCACTCACAGCTCCCAAGAGGAGGGGGCCCGCCAGGCCGCGCGGGGCCACCCCGGGGGTCAACCAGGGTGGGCCAGCACGCAAGAGCCTCTACAGTGGTTTCCAGGGGAGAAGTGGGTGAAGAGGGTGGTCACGCTAAGCAGGGTTAGGACGGCCGGTGGGAGTGACTTGGAAAATCTCACCACCCAGAGCCCTGTGTTTTTCCTCCTGTTAAACAGGAGCCTGCGTATCTTCTATTTTGCTCGCTCCCAGGAGGATCCGGGCACGGGGGCGCCGAGCAGGAGCCCCGGCCTGGTCTGAGGCATGCTGGCTCTGCTGCCCGGGCCATTTGGGGGAAGCCGGGCCGCCAATCCCTACTCGGTTTCTGCCACAGACGCGGAGGGGAGGTCGCACGTGGGATGCAGTGGCCTCGGGAGGGGCGGAGGTCACAGCAGGAACAGGCCGCTGCCCTCAGCACCTCTCCCGGGGCCCCCCAGGGGTGCTGCAGTTCTGCACTGCTTGGGTGATGCTCTGGTCTGTATCTAAGTGCTGCACGAGATCCCAGGTCCACACGGACAGGGACCGGGTCTGCTCTCCCGGAAGCCTCCGGCGCCGGGCACCCAGGCAGCTCTCCGAAAACACCTGGTGAAGGAAGCGGCGAAGGAAGCGGCGAGTGAGCAGATAAGCAGCGCCCACCCCGGCCCACCCCAACATCTGGCCCACTGCCTCCTGCCAAGTAGATGTTCAGAAAATCTTTGCTAAGAAATTAAATTTTGAGTCTTTGTGCACTTTCTAGCTGCAGGGGGTCCCTTGGTGCCTCTGAGGCGGCGGGGTGGGGCTGGGCCCAGGGGTGGGCAGCCCACTTCTGAGGACTCTGCTGGCCCCTATGGGGGGAGCTGGTAGGTGGGAGGCCCAGGGGCTTCTACTGCCCGTTCCATTGGGCAGAACAGAGTTCATTTCCTTTTGTTTTCCCCTGGAAGCTCCAGTCACCACCCAGAGCCCTGGGACAGAGGTCTGAGGAAACCGCTGCTCCATCCCTGAGGGCCTTCCGAATGGGGGTTGGTCGAGGGAGGAAGAGTTCTGGTGCCTGAAAGGCTGGGGTACCGGCTGGGGAGCCCTGCTGGGGGCACGGTGCCTATACAGGATGGCACAGCGGGTAAAGGCATCGGCTTTGAAATTAGTAAGTAGAAAACTAGTTGCCATTCTGCTGCGACTGGGGATCAGGCCGTGCGACCTCAGGCAGGTGGGCAGCCTCTCTGACCCTGTTTGTCCTTTTGTAGACCGTGGTCTTATTAACTGTCCCACTCGCTCACGAGGCCCCCAGACCTGGGGATGTGGGAAAGGCCAATGGTGTTCAAGGTGATGGGGGTGGGCGCCTCTCAGACCTCCACTGGGGAACCTGGGCCTTGAACCCACCCTGTCTGGCTCCAGGCCTGGGGTTTATCTTCCTCCAACACCGTCCCTCTTTGGGCACAGTTTGGTGGGTGCAAGTCAAACCATCCCTCTCGGTGGAAGAATGGTGAAGAATGGCTCCTGACTTGGGGGGAAGCTGGACACGGTCCCGTCGGGACTCCCCGGGCCCGGCCTTTCTCTGCTCCACTGGGTCCCCGCTCTTATGTCACCATGTGGCCTTGGGAAAGCCATGCAACTCAGGGAGGCCCAGGTGTCAGCCTTGCAGAGACCTCCCTGCTTCTAAATCCTACCGCGAAGGCCGGCAGAGCCAGGGTGCATGCCGGAAACCCACGAGAGCCCCAGTGGCCTCCCTGCTCTCCCCATGCCGTGCCCCAAGTAAGGAATCCCCACCGTGGGAGGGGGGCCCCCTTCCTATACCCCCCGCACCCCACCCACAGGGCGGCCAGCAGATAATGGGCCCATCTGGCTCCTTGCCTAGTCCTCAGCGCAACAGTGAAGGGCGTGCGGGCAGCCTGCGTCTGGTCTCAGGAGCCCGTGGCAGGAGGATGGGCAGCCGCGCTCGGGAGGGCATGATGTTGTCCCTCACAGGTCGGCTGCAGGTGCCCAGGGCGCCACCGTGTCCACCCGGGCGTTCAGCCCCGGCCCGTGTCGGCTCTGGGGGGGCAGGCCGCGCAGCCCCCAGACACCCTGGGCTGCCTCCAGTCCTCCCCCCTTCTGCCCAAGACCTGGGCTGGAGCAGGTGAGCAGAGGGGGAGGTGGAGGGGGCCGGGGGATGGCATGGCCGGGCGGGAGGGCTGGGGACGGGGTACCAGGAGCAGGGACAGAGTGGACTGCAGTCCAGCCGTCCCCAGGCCGCCCCCAGACATGAGCCCATGGAGGTCACGGCCCCCGGGCCTCTCTCGGGGACCAGAAACCATGCGAACTATTTTGGTGGCTTTCAGAAGCTGCTCCCCTTGAAGCATGACTAACCCGGAAACAGCTGAACTTCAGAAACTCTCAACTGCCCTTGTGGCTGAGGTGGGTCTCCTGGAGAACCGAGAAAGTGACTTTAAAGGAAAAAATAGAACTTCTAAGCACTCAGCAATCTATCTGGGGTGGGGGGCCCCTTCTAAGCGCTCACCTGGAGAAACACCCAGAACGGCTTGCAAGGTAACCTTGGGAGAAAAGTGGGTCTGTGGCCCTGCCTGGCCTCCCCCCGTCCCGCTCACCCCAGCCACAGGACCTGCTGGACAGGAAGACGCACCACCTCGGGACGGATGGGTCGGGAGGGAAGCTTGGTCCTCTGCTGGGCAGCTGCCTGCCCCCTCAGATCTGCTTGGGCCCCACAGGGCGAAGATGCAAAGGCTGGGCCGGGGGCGTCCACTCCCTTGGCTGCCTGGCTGCCTCCCGGGGCCACCCTCCTGGGGGTGGCTGAACAATGACCCCTGAAGACGTCCACATCCTAATCCCTGGAGCCTCTAAGTCACCTTATGTGGCAAAAGGGCCTTTACTTAGATGTGACCCTGAGACGGGGAGAGGACCCTGCATTACCTGGGGGGCCCAGAGTCATCCCTGGAGTCTTTCCGAGGGCAGGGAGTGGGGACAGTCAGAGAAGGCCGATGTGACCCCGGAACTAGTCAGAGATTCGAGGATGCTACACTGAGGACCGGGGCAGGGGCCACGAGCCATGAAAAGGGGAGGCTTCCAGAAGCTGGAGATGCCGAGGGAGCGGGTCCTCCCCCAGCATCTCCAGAAGGCACGGGGCCCACACCTTGGCCTTCGCCCCAGGAGACTGATTCCGGATTTCTCATCTCCGGAGCTGCCAGATAATCAACTCGTGTTGTTTTAAGGCGCTAGTCTGGCATAATTAGCGCCAGCAGCTGAGGGATCCTGGTCTGGTTCCCCAGGGCCACCCGCCCACGGGCCTGCCCCCTCCTGGCTGCTCAGCGGGAGCCCTGGCCCGGGAGGTTCTGGGAAGGTGCCTCTTCCTGCAAGTCTTAACAGGATCTGCCTCGCCCACAAGGAGAACGGCTCCCCCAGGGTGAGATTTTGGGAGCAACAGGGAAACACCCGCCCACACCCAAGGCCTCTCTCCCTCCCTGCTGGCTGAGGCCAGAAATTCCTCCAGAGCCGGGCTTTGCTTGTTCCCAAATAGGGGCATGGGGAAGAGGTCATTCCAAAGGGAGGTCAACATTAAGATGTAGATGAGTGTTCCCTGTGAACTGGATCCCGAAGAGGGGGGCGCCCACACAGGGGAGAGGGTTTCCCAGGACAGGGAATCAAGGGACCTCAAGGCTCACCCGTCCATCCTGCCCCTCGTGTCCCACCCACCCCTCTCCTCTCAGGCTGGCTTTCTCTGCTGAGCCAAACTGGTCCTGGCTCCCTCATCAGGAGATGGGGTCCTCCTCTTTCCGGGTCTGGACTTGCTGGGCCCCCCTCCCACAATACACAACTACGGAGGAGGGTGCTGGGGGACTCTCCCAAGGTGGTCTTTTCAGAAAAGGGGGACCAACCCGTGGTCCACACTGGCCTCCTGAAAGCCCAGGCCTCTGGAACCCCAAATGTGGGTCAACCCCAACTCCTCCACCCGGCTGGCCCATCCCCCTGCAGCCAGAGGACCCTGAAGTGTCTAGTGACAGTGACACACACTCACTGCCCCCGGGTATGAGGGAAGCAGCCATCCTGGGAGCAGTCCGTGGGCACAGCAGGGCCTGTGGTCAGTCACCCCACCTTCCAACCCACACGGCCGACAATCACGTGAGGCTGGTCTGTGGGCACGGCGGGCCCTGGCACCCGCACACCCATGGCAGGCCACTCGTGGGTTGTCCCTGGTGATGTCAGAGCTCTTCCCTCTCCCGTCCCCATATGCAGGGGGTCCCCTCCCCCGGTGTGCGCAGAGAGCACACAGGTGAGACCCTGGACCATCTCGGCGACTCATCTGTATGCAGCAGGTGCGGTGGAGGACCTACCCCGGGCGCGCAGGGGGGCGAGGCACCGCATGCACTCCCGGGCCGGGTCACGGGGGCCACATTTAATTATGTTAAATATTAATAAAAGTACAGAGTAACTGTGGTTCACTTAGCATACCTTCCACTACCGAGGGTGTACAACTGAATACAGTCCGATACGCGGCTTTGGGGACACAAAGTATCTTCAATACCAGGTCATGAGAAACGCTCCCATTCACTTTGGTTTTGGACGACAGGCTCTAGGACGGCCGTCTGGAACGACACCCGGGCCGTCAGCCAGAACCGGGCTGCCTGTGAGAAAGCAGGGGCGCCAGGTGCGCCCTCCGGAGAAAGGCCCCTCGAGAGGAACTGTCTGGATGGCACTGATTGGCACCGAAGGGCTGGGCCTGCGTCTATAAAAAGATTTGTATCATAAACCAAATAATATTGGAAATAATACCTCCGGGAATACTTCTGTAAGAAGCAGAATCACACTACATGTTATTCACATGCATCCGAGTGCGTAGGAAAAATCCTCTGTCGTAGTCGTGGGTGGGGCGGGAGAGCGAGATGTGTCCTCAAGTGACAAGTTCGTTGGCAGAGAAATCAATCCATGAAAAGGTGGTGTCCAGAGTGGAGGCGCCTCATCAGCAACAGAAGTGGAAGGTGCCCACGCACGCATGCGTGTGCACACCCAGGACTGTAAATAAATACACACGCACGCTGCCGTGACATCTCCCTGCAGCCCCTGGTGCTCAGGCCGGATCCCCTGCTGGCTGCCGCTCCACCTGCTGCCTGTGAGGGACATGGGGCCGGGGGACTGTGCCACAAAGCGGGTCTTCGGGACACACAGCTCCTTCAGTAGCAGGAACAGCTCGGCTATGGCCATACTGATGGCCCTTGCACGCCTTCACCCGGGCGGCGCATCCCACCTCTTGCTGGCAGAAAGATGAGGACGCCAGGGCTGGACAGCTGAGCAAATCCTCACGCCTGCACACGTGGCTGGACACAAAGGCATCCGCATGTTCTGACTTTGGCGTATGGGACTTGTCCAGAGAGCTCTGGTTCCCAGGAAGCTTCCCTTGGAAACACTCCAGTGCAAAACTCCATCGAGGTCCCACCTGGGGCTGTGTGCCAAGTGGGCTCCAGTGTTCTCTTCGCTCTCTCCCCATCACCTCCAAGAAATGACGAGACCTTTAGCCCATCCACTGGTAAACCAAGCTGCCGAGCGGCCCAGTAAGTTCCATTAAGAATCCCAGCATACCATGCGCGGCCCACGTACAGCTCACTCATTGTGTTTCTCAATCAGAACAAGCATCTTGTAGTCTGTGAACATAGGAAGGGCCTCTGGCCATGCGTGGTGGAGAATGTGCGTAATGAGCTCATTCCGGGGGCTGGGGGGGGGGAGGCCGAGCAACAGAGAGCGTCCTTGGCCGGAACTAAAACTTGAAACACCTTCCAGGCCTGGTGGTGACCTTGAGTGTGCGAGGAGAGTCCAAGAGGCCCAGACTTCCCAGGAAGAGTTCAACCCCTGGAAGGTGCTCCGTCTGGCATTAACTGCAACAACTTCCCTTCCAGTTAGAAACGGACTTTGTATTCTGATTATAAACTGAGTAAACTCTTGAGGAAACATCTAAAGAGGCAGAAAAGGGAGCTACGGCTAACGAGATACAGAAAGTGGTTTCAAACATTCAATTTTCTAGTTGAACGTAAGTAACGCACAAGGACAGAATGGGAGATGGTCCGAGAAACAAATGTGCTACCAAATTTGATGATTTTTTTCTTCTCTCTCATGAAAGTGAAGTTAAGAGGGTTTATATCTGAAGAGAAAAAGGGTGGACTTTGGAGTAAAAGGAAAAAAAGGAAAGAGGCTCCATTCTCTGCCCAAATGAAGGTATTGGCCTGAACAGTGCTTCCAAACTGAATGGAAGTGTAAGCGCTGACCTCTAGCGTGGTGACATGACCCCTAGCATGGTGGCATAACCTTAGTGTGGTGGCATGACCTCCGGCATGATGACGTGACCTCCAGCGTGGCGGCGTGACCTCTGGCGTGCTCAATTGGATCCCAGCATCGTCAGCCCCCAGCTACGCCCATCCCCCAGCGCCCCCACCGGCACCGCCCGCCTCACCCCCGCAGCCTGGCCACGCTGCTGCGGAGGGAACAGTTTCCCAAGTGGATTTCCAATGGCCTCGGCTGGAGAGGCCCTGCAAAGGGTCAGTTGCCAGATTATTTCACACCACAAATGGTTATGCTAAACACGTGCCTCGGGAGGGGAAGAAGAATCTCGGGGTTTTCTCCACACTGTGAGTAAAAGGGCCCCCCCACAAAGACAGACTTTTCAATCGTGGTACAGTGGAAACCACAGAGGGAACGCAGCCCTCAGGTCTTCCTCCAGGCGAACGCCTCGTCGGCGAGCACCTGCGCCAGCCTGGTGTTGAAAGGCCCGTAGAAGTCCTGCAGGATCCTCTGGGTGACAGGCCACATGGGCCCCAGGTTCCGGTCCTCAGGACGCCGCGCATTGGACGCGGGGCTCTTTGTCATCAGGGTCTCTTGTTTCTCACCTAAGGGCCCTGAACAGAGAGAAAAGAAAGGCTCCCATGAGGCCAGAGGCACAGCAGGATGGAACCCCACAAAGCTCCCAGCCATGCTTCATGTCGAGACAGGAGTTCCCCTTCAGTGTGCGGAGATTAAAATGCTTCGGCTGGACCCATTCTGGAGTCACTGAGGGTGGAAAGCGGAAGTGTCATCATGAAATAGCAGGGACTCTCAGGCCTGGGGTTGCATACTTGCCCTCGGAAGTGTGGCTGGAACTGTGGGATGCAGCTCACCTGGGCCTCACCTCCTGGCTTCCTGGCCAGATACCCCTCAAGGGCAGGCACTTGCGGCCACCAGCCTGTCCTTCGATAACTGTCCAACCTGCACATCCATGTGCTTAGATCCTCCTGCTAACCAGCCTGCCAGAATTTTGTCCTTGTTCTTTCCACTTCAGGCTGCTGATGCAAAGGGCCTGTGGCTGCACCATACTTCACCCTGTGTGTTGTGCTATGCAGGGCCCACGGGGGCAGGGGGAGGCCACCTATGCCCAGAGACCCCATGAGCTGAACTTCCTCCTGCAGCAAGGTCAGTAGGAAGCAAGGCCCAGGAACAAGCCAGCCACCTCCACCTCCAGCCCTCTAGACCATAGGCCTCTCACTGGCTTAACCAACCGGATCAACGCTCAGGCCCTCGGGATGGTGGCAAGGCCAAGGTCCTAAGCCTTTACACAGAAAACCATCAAGACCGTGTGGTACTGGCACAAAAACAGACATATAGATCAACGGAACAGAACAGAGAACCCAGAAGTGGACCCTGAACTTTATGGTCAACTAATATACGATAAAGGAGGAAAGACGATCCACTGGAAGAAAGACAGTCTCTTCAATAAATGGTGCTGGGAAAATTGGACATCCACATGCAGAAGAATGAAACTGGACCACTCTCTTGCACCATACACAAAGATAAACTCAAAATAGATGAAAGATCTAAATGTGAGACAAGATTCCATCAAAATCCCAGAGGAGAACTCAGGCAACACCCTTTTTGAACTTGGCCATAGTAACCGGAGAAGGACAAACAGTGTATGTTCTCATTCATTTGGGGAATAGGAATAATAGTGAAAGGGAATATAAGGGAAGGGAGAAGAAATGTGTGAGAAATATCAGAAAGGGAGACAGAACATAAAGACTTCTAACTCTGGGAAATGAACTAGGGGTGGTGGAGGGGGAGGAGGGCGGGGGGTGGGGGTGAATGGGTGACGGGCACTGAGGGGGACACTTGACGGGATGAGCACTGGGTGTTATTCTGTATGTTGGTAAATTGAACACCAATAAAAATTAATTTATAAAAAAAAAAAAAAAAAAAAAAGAAAACCCTATTCCAGTGTCCTTGGGTTGCATGTAATAGAAGGAACAGAGCTGCCTCACTGTCCGTCTCAGGGACTAAAGGCAAGCTCATCAAGGCAAGAGAATCTACCAGTGGCCAAATCAAAGAAAAATGGTTCTGGGCCTTCAAAGGGAAGAATAATCACACTCCCTCGTATCACCAGCTCACCTATGACAAAAGGGTCCCAAGGCCAGTGGTGGGCACACATACTTCAGGAAATATTCCCTCAACAAAATTCCCAGGCCAGATAATTAGACGGGGCTGCGGGAGACGAATGATGAGTGAGCTCTGCTCTAGACTTCAAGCAATCCTTGGGGGCACATCCACATGGGCAGCACGCCGTGTCCACATGCCCACCCCTACCAGCCATCACCATGGCCAGGAGCAGTGGGCCTTCCCAGACGTACCACCAGCCATGTGGCCCTGACGTCAGGGGTTGCCAGAAACCTGGGACGAGGCAATGACCTGTCCATGCCCTCCTCCAAGCCTTGTGGCCTCCGCAACACTATTCCAGGCACACACTGACATCTCACCCATCCTCAGGGCTCAGGCCACTGACCATTCCTTCCAAGAAGCCTTCCATTCTGTCCTTCAGCAGCTGGGACCCCAGGTCACGTGTACAAACCTACTGCGAGGACACTAACCTTCCCCATCGTTCTATCAGTGCCTTGGGTTCCTTGAGCTGAGGCTTTCCTTCTCCTCTCTGTCTGCTACCCTGAAAGCTTCCAGGTGAGGGGCCATCCCCTCACTACCCCAGCACAAGGCTCGGCGCCTGACAAACAGCTACTGAACTAGCCACCCAGCTCGGCCCACCCCTGCCAAGTGCACGGAGTCCAGATGTGACTCAGCGAGCACCGCGGCCAGCCAGTGTCCACGGAGCTCATGCCAGCTCCACGGTCTCCAGCGCGACATTCATACCGAGGTTGAGGAACTGGAAGACCCTGTGCATGGTGTACTTGACGTTGGATGCGTGGTCTTCCAGGCGAAGAATGAGGAATTGGTCTTTGTTAAAAACAGTGAGCCAGTCCAGAAGGTACACGGCATACAGACCGACCTGGAGCCTCACCTAGAGCCAAAGAAGAAGGCAGGTGTTACCTCAGGAGTGATTCCCCCAACACTTTCCCCCAAGTATGATGGCATGTGTACAAGCCAACCCCAAAAGACTTATCCAAGCAAACAACTGCCTTCAAAGGATGGATTTTAAATGCCATGCATGCTCGAGTCCTCATGGAGGGTTCTGAGCTACCCACGCAAGGCGTTCCTACTTGGCGTCACATTTAACCCTCACGATGACCCTCTAGGTAGCCCCGTGACACATTTAGTAGTAAAGACTGTGGTGAAGGAAGTGCCCCAGACTGTTTGCATGAACAGTGCCGACATTCTTTACACAACGTCCTGGCTGTTTCTGCTCCTACACCCAGCACATGACGACCATGAGAAACACCAGTCAACGCCTCGGAGACAAGCCAGGTGAGGGAACTGCCATGTGCCCGGTGCCATCCGAACACCCGTGCCAGACGGCTGTGTGTACGTCCCGGTACAGCAGTGTTACATGCAGCCACTGCACGTCCGGGGTCCTCGTCCTTCTATGCCTTCTCTCACGCCCAACTGCAAGCTTGCACAATGAACAATTAACCTTGCCCAAGGGAAGTCTGACCCCTTGTCCTTGGATCCTAGGAGGTGACCTCTAGGTCACCTGGATGTCCTACCTCATAAGCATCTTTGCTCACCTGGGGCATCTGGCCACCCGACAGTACAGAGCACGAGTCGCCACGGGAGCTTTGGGCCACACAGGCTCAGTCTGACCTGCAGCAGGGGCTGGACAGTAAGGCCAGCCACGCGGAGGTATGTGACTGAGCCCAGGCAAGAGCCTGGACACCAGGGCTTCGGTGGGCTTCCCTGGTAGGCAATGCTCGGCACGTAGCGTCACGTGTGCTTCTTCCCCACACAGGCTGATGGGTGATGGGTGTCCCTTCCCTGCTGTAAATCGTAACCACGAATACCACCGTCTTCAGTGCGCCCTGGGATTCCTTCCAATTACTGAGCCCCAAAACCACTTTTGGGGACCCCCGACTTACAAACACGTCACGACTCAGAGTGGTCCTGGTATGTTCCCGTTAACCTCGCAGCTGCTATTAAGCTCCTCAAAGCTTCAGGAAAGAACAGTCCTCTCCCCTTCCACCAAGGCCCCTTGTCCTGCACTCCTACTCCTGCGCCCCGGCCTCCCCACGTCCTCGGGACCCCCACTCCTCTTCCTGTCTGCTGCTCTGTCTCTGCCACCTTCCCAGATGTTTCCATCCGCTGCCCCTCTGGTCAGGCCCCACTGCACGGCCTCCTCACTGTTCCTCCCGTCTAGTCTCCAGCAGCCAGCCCTCGCCTGCCACTACCGTAAACGGTCCCCACTCCCGACCCGCGCCCCCCCCCACGGTGTCCAAGTGTGGAGAGCTCTTGGTCTGGCTTGTGCTCAGCCCCCAGGTACCCCCTCCAAGCCTCGGCCCCTTTGGGCTCCTCCTGTCTTCCCCTAGCAGGGCTCTGGAGGCCCTGGCAGCCATGCCCACTGCCGTGGGAGCAGACGACGATGGTGAGACAGTTGACCAGAAGCACAACTTGTTTCCTCTCCCACTATTCTTTTCTCATTCTGTTATTTTTCTTATCGTGTGGGAGGACACAAAGGAAGAAAAACAGGGAGGGGGATCAGCTGTCTCCAAAATTCATCAGCTGCCTCCAGCCCCCAGGTGGTTGCCTCTTTGTGTGCCAACCTGTACAGAAGACCCCAAGCTGGGCCAAAGCCACAGGGAAATGCGTATGTGCCAGCCTCAGAAATCACGTGTGCGTCGCCTCTAACACAGACAAACCATTACAAGAACGCCTGCTTGAGTCATCAGCCTCAAAGAACATTTCAATTCTCTGTCAGCCTCACGGCTGGCCCCTCTCAGGGAGGCCCTGCCTCACAAGGGCCGTATCTTCCCGAGAGCCCGCTTTTGGATTGGGGAACTTTCTAGAATCAAAGAAGCTGGTGTTTGCAACACGATGGGGCACTGTATAATAGCCGGGATCCCACTCCTGACCTGGCCACAGGTGACAGACTATTTCTGGGCAGGCCTGCTATGTCCATCATGGGAAGAGCCCCCACCACTGCTCCCAGAGGGACAGGACCTGCTGGCTGAGGTCCTCCTGTAGCCGGAAACAGACTCAGGGGTGCTCTGCAGAAGGGAGGTGGGCTGGCTCCCATAGCAGCAGGCTCCCTGGTCCCCTGAACACCCCTCTCCCAGCCCGACGCCCCTGTACCACTCCAGGAAAGCTCTGGTCACCCCGACTGACACTTTCTGGTGCAAGCAGCATCGCTGCTACAACTGTGCGCCATTAAGACCAACCTAGGACAGGCCCACTCAGAATTATTCGCCTCGCCCCCGGCAGAGTTGGAGAATCAAAATGGAATGAAGATAAAAAGAGTATTTAGGGGAAGTGTCCGATTGATAGAAGATTACAAAACATCAGAGCTGAGAGAAGCCTTTGAGGTGATCTGCCCCAGCCAACTCTTGATGGAAAAATAGAAGCCCAGGGAGGGGTAGGAGGGCCGGCTCAGGGTCAGCTGGGAGCACCCACCAGTTCTGTTTCCTATTGGGGCTTAGGTAGAACTCCCCACCCAGCCTATCTGCTGTCTGCTAGTGCCAAAAACTCCTCGTTCATTCATTCACTTGTTCTGCAAATAATCGAGTGCGTGCTACACGCCAAGTGCCCCACTAGCCAGTGGAGATGTGCTGCTACGTAACAGACACGGCCCCTGGCCTCCTGGAGCCTGGAACCTAGTGGGGGACCCAAGAAACCAACACCTGTAACCAGCAGCTGCAGTCCACGCTATCGGGACACACACAGGGTGGGGACAGGGAGCAGACGGTAGATGAAAGCAAGACCGGGAGAATGAGAAGCCCTCCAACACCCAGGAGAGGCCTGTCCCCCGGAAAGGAAAGTGGGAAAAGGCGCTGGAACCTGTCTCTTCAACCTCAGGGGACAACGCTCTGTCTGGAGGGCTGCTAGACAGATTGCCGGGCCCACCCCCAAGGCGCTCGATTCTGGGGTCTGGGGCTCAGCCTGGCAGTCTGTGTTTCTGACAAGTTCCCAGGGGGCGTCGATGCTGCCGGTCCAGGGACCCGCTTTGCAAACCCCTGCTCCAAGGCAAGAGGCTGGCCTGAGGACTGAACAGGAGAGCGTGTGGCCGCAGAGCAGTGATGGAGAGGGGGTGGCAGGGAGGAGGTGGAGGTGGCGGCCGGGCCGGCTCGCGCTTTCTGGTGCTGCAGGAGGGCAGTGAATGTCTTCAGAAGGGTCGTACCAAGGTCCACCCTGGGCTGTGGCTGAGCTGGGATTCAGCTGGAGGGAAATCTGCTTCCCTCATGCCAGAATTAAAGATTCAATCTCCTTTGCCTGGTTCTTCCTGCTGAGCAGGAGCTGGCCAGGGGCTGAAGAGTAACGGCCAATCTGCGATCTGTGACACCCGCCCCCCTCTGTCCTATGTACAGATGCCGCCCCTGGGCTTCTCTCTCTGACCAGAGGTGTCTGCTAAGCCACCGCCTTGTGGTGGCTTCCCCCTTTTATCCCACCACCTCATCCTCATCCATCCCATCTGCACTTCTCTTCCACTATGCCTAATTGTTTCTAGAAACCTCCATCCCCTCCTACCCTGACTCAGCTACCAATTCTCTTATAGAAATCTCATCTCATCCCCACCCCCACTGGCTTCCCTGTCTCTGGGATACACCCCACCCTCCCACCCCTGAGGGCCCTGTACACTGGGCACCTTTCTGAAATGCACAACTGCTACAACTATCCTCCCTTCAAGCCCTCCCTGGGGTCCCAGCAACCTCAGGATGAAGTCCGGACTTCCAAGGCTCACCAGAGCTCCTCAGTGATGCAGGCTCACACCTTCCTCTTACCATCACCCCACCACCCACACAACTATGTGCTGTGCTGACTGTAGTAAACACGGTCTGTGCCCACCTCTCATCTTTTGCACATTCTGCTCCCCTCACCTGGACATGTCACCAACTCCACACCCCCAGATGACTCCTCCTTTCAGCTTCAACACAAACATTACCTCTCTGAGAGAGTCCCTCTGATGCTCTATGTCCGGGTAGCCTCTACTGGGAGCCACAGCTCCTGTCCCAGCCTGTCACTCTCCCTGCTAGGGCTGGGGCTGCACTGGGCAGTCTGTCCTGCCATGGCTGCCATCCCAGCCTGCGGGCCACTCACACACATAGTGAAGTGGTGAATGCACGTGAAGGGTAGCAGAATACGCAGCCCTGAAATATACCACTTGGCGTAAGGATTATTTTGAAGGCAACTGAGAAGAAACAAGAAAAGCTCTCTGCCCTCACTGTTTGCCTAAAAGCAGTATGTAAATTTGTGAGGGTGCCCTCCTCCCCTCTCGGCCATGATGGACCAAAGTTAATCACTGGAGAAACTCTAAACCTCTGTCGGCCTGAAGACAGCACCAAAGATTTGACAGAACAAACCTTGCTAAAACTAGCCCTTATCACCCCCATCCATTTACTTGCCTTCCCACAGTTTCCTGCTCTAGAAACTCAGTCTTTTTCCTTTGTCTGGTCACCTCTCTACAAACGCATTGTTCTCTTACCACGTCATATGAGCCTGAGTTCTAACCACCCCTCTGAGTTACTCATCAAGGATGCGTGTATCTGCAACACAGACATTAATAAGCTGGTGGTTCTTTCCCCTCTTGTTAATGTGTCTTTTGTCATCTAATTTATGGGGCCCCAACCAATGACTCTAAGATGGCCAGAGCCAAGGGATGATTTATTTCTCCCCCCCATGTGAATGAATATCACTCTGATCCTTCCAACAGCCCGGTAAAGCGGTAGTATTACTACATTTTATGGGAAGCAACAGAGTCTCAGAGAAGCTCAAACAATTGTTCAGAGTCACACAGCTGGTAAATCCCCAGGCTGGGAACTGCACCCACGCCACCATCTGACTCCACAGGCCACTCCTCTACCCTACACCCCTGGCCAAATTCTGTGCGGATCTGTGGCCCTGGTCTGAAGCATCCTTGACAAACTAAAAACTCCAGCAGGAGAGCCTCAATCCAACCCACTGCCCAATGCACCCTGCCTTCCAGATGACACACCCTCTGATAGCGAGAGAGTGAAACCCCTTGAGAGGTTTGTGAAGCTCCCCATGCCCAGGGGGTTCCCAGCCTCCACCTCCAGCACATCTGTCGGTGGTTTACCACATGATGCACTCTGCAGAGCAGCACTTGTGAACCACACCCCAGGACAGGGGCAGCGCTGGCTTCACTGTGAAAGGGTTTCCTGCCACACAAATCTACTACAAAGGTAAGCCCACAACCCAAAAGTGGTGCAGCAGAAATCCACCCTTAGCTAAAGTGTGTGGAATTCACCACCAGCAGTTTCTTTTGCATAAAAAAAAAAAGCAAGATGGATATGGCTATATTCCTGAAGGCAAACAAGAGAAAAGAAAAGAGAGATCAAGGAAAAAACATTTTTCCATTTAGGCCCTGCCAAAGAAACACTGAAAGTCACCGGTGGGCAATTTTTTTTTAACCACCATGACAATCCACCACTGGAGAACATGCTTAAGACAGTTTGAGAGCTGGGTCCCCGTGTCTGCCAATCCTAATTGCAGGGTGCATTTTCGGAGCCTCGCTACATGGTAATCTTCCTAAATGCGCCCTCATTCCCTGCGGAGGGAGGAGAGAATTGTACCGGGGAGATCAGCAGGGAAGAAAGCCTGGTGCCAGCTGAAAGGGCCCATCCCTCTTACAGTTTTTATGTCCGTGCATATTTGTGTGTGCATTAGCCGCCGCGCAGAAGCCTGGGGAGAGGCATCTGCACATTCAAATGCTTCTCTGTGTTTATATGCTCCCATCCCATCCACCATGCCGCCTGCATAATAAGCACCACAGAGCCTGTTCTGAGGGGGGCCGGGCTTCCAGGATACGCACAGGCATGGCATTGTTGAGCGTGTTGTTGTAGACACAGGCACGCAAGGAATAATCGAGCATGCAATTTTCAAACAGCTGCAGAGCTTCCGTCACTTTTTCATGAAAGTCGTCGGCAGATTTATTCGAACTTGCGAAGTAGAGATAGTCGGAGTACAACCTGTGAATAAAATAAATGGATATTTTTACCGCCCAGGAATGTGAAGTCATGCTTCTTGGGTGACAATGACAGTCAACGTGCAATCACAGATCTCGTCTTGTTCATTAGGACCCTGGCATTTCTTTGTTCCCTTGCACATGGGCCACTTCCCTACCTCCTCTCACACCTCCCCACCCCTGCCAGGGCCACCCACACTCTCCTGGACTCAGACTCATCTACACTGGCCCCAGACAAGCCACCAGCACTTTCTTTATTCTTTCCAGCCACTTGAGCGTGCAGCCCTGCTTTCCCTGTCCTAGTGAGCTCAGAAATGAGAGCAAAGTCAGGCCATGAAAATGTTATCCTCCTTCCGGTCTGTCTTCTCTCCTCCATCTGAGGCAACAAGAACATCTGTCGCTCTTATAACATTACAGTTCCTTGGGAAATTCCTGCCCATTCCACAGACATTCCAAATGTTTTTTTTTTTTTTAATACCACTTGATGGGATGAGCACTGGGTGTTATACTACATGTTGGCAAATTGAATTTAAATTTTTTAAAATGTAAAAAAATAAGTAAAAAGATTTTTTTAAAAAAATACATGAAATGTATCTTCCTAGATTGGTAGGGAACCTATTTTTCAACACAGTATAAAAACACGCCCAGATATGCATGCAGTCACCTCTAAATCTGTTTGCTTGTCCACGTCCATGGGTCCATTCATGCGGATCCCACCACATGGATGTGCCAGGTTTTCCTACGGGAACTGGTGGTGTGGGCTCCTTGGCTGAACTTTACTGAGGCTCCTCTAAACCTTCTTCCCAACTTGTAAACGGCCACGTCATCTCCGAATTGCCCAATTTCAGCAAGAATTCTGATGGGTCAGTTTAGCCAGAATCCCCCACCCTCTGATATCTGATCATCCTGGATGTGTGGTGGGTTCTTCATCCCCATCCCCCCAACCCTTGGGGGCATGTCTCATCCCCTCAGCCTGCCTTCAGTGGGAATCCTGCTACATCGGGTTGGCCAGAGCCCTGACTCACTTACCCTGATGTGTCCTCTCAATAATTTCCAACCCACCGATCCCCACCCTTCCTTGGCTATAAGTCCCCACTTTTCCCTGCTGTACCTTGAATGGAGGCCAGTATCTGTCCCCTACAGGAAACCCCACACCATGTCCTGACCTCCCTGCAATGGTCCTCAATGAAGCCTGCCTTCAGTCTTGAACAAGCACCAGGAGAAGGACCTGCTTGCTTGCTTTCTCTTTCTTTCTATCTTTTCTTCCTTCAATAAATCTTCTGCAAATATATTTTACTGAACTCTCTGCATTACAGACAGATTTTTTTTAAAGCATGGGATATTTCTTTCCTTACATCACATAAATAAGCGGTAAGACAAGATGAGTTCTAACAACATAATAAATCCATCTCTCTTGGAAAGCCTTCCTGCCCAGGTTCTCTGGTGGTCCTAACTGGGAGTCTTGCTCCCCAAAGATGAGCTTCATTATCAGTTGCTGAAACAGCCTTTGAGAAATTTTCTTTGCCTACTCAGGCATCTATCTGCATATTTTGTATTTTTGAAAACGCAGATGGCATCAGATTACATCGGATGGAGTCAGGCTGCAGACCTACCACTGTGGCACTCTCCTAATCACCTGGTTTGGAGGATTCTGAGCATCCATGAGAGCAGCTAACATGGTACACTGCAGCCTGACAGACACCTGATTCTCTTGTCGCCAAATAACTTTTCTCTTTAACAGAACTGAGCTGTGAGTTCCCACACCTCTTCCTCTTTCTGCTTGCAGAGAGGCTAAGTCACGTGCCTTTTCGATGCCCATCCCCACGTGACCTCCCTGCTGCACCCTTGCCTCATACACCATCCTCGGCCTGCCTGTGGGAACACAGGGCTGACGAGGGGTGGCCCCCTGGCTCCAAGGACCCACATTCTCTCTCCTTCTAATACCACATTAACCCCCACAACTTCTCCAAAGTGGCTTCACTCATTCCAGTGAAGGCAATTCAGTGAACCTTACTATGTACCGTATGTCTGAGGAGTACACATCTGTCCTGCCAATGGTGCTCCAGCCCCTCCCTGGGACTCAGCCACACCCACTGGAGCAGAAACCACTGCACAGGGCCCCCACTGCACAGGTCAGCTGCAAATGCTCCTCCCACACCTCTCCCCTCTAACTACTGTCATGGGAGGATATGCAGATGTACCGGTACCTCGAGCATGGCTTGTCAGGGACAAGAGCTTCTTCACCCCTGGCACAGTGCCTTTGACATGACCCTGAGAATTCATCCACAGCCAGTATTCACAGAGGACACCTGTGAGAAGTCTGAAGATGCCTGAGATCTGCCCAGAGATTGCCTAGAGTCTACATACACCCTGGCATGGGAGTTTTGTAGACCTCAACCTGTTCCATTAAACACTTCAAAAGGCTGTTTCCAGACTTGTCCTCAGTGATGCTCAGTGACTGGCGAGTTCACACCCACCAGATCCGTGCCCACCCGAGCATATTACCCAGGATGATACCACATCTGCCCGTTACAGTGTCCCCCAACATCAGCTGTCCATCATGGCATCCATCACTGCAGGCTAGTCATAATATAATCTAGAAGCTGATGGTTAAATGCCAAAATCAGATTTGCATGGACCTCACAGAGCAATTCAGTTGTATGTGCCAAGGCGTACCATGTGGCCATGAGTCCGATGGGGTACCATTCCCAGCTCACGTGTTTCTTATCAGTGCAACTGACATTATGGCCCAGGCCAAGAAAGTATGTCCAGGAAAAGTAACAGACACCTCTGAAACTGTCATCAAAATCTATTATTTAATAGGAAATCCAAAACCAATGACTCCTATAGGACTATCCACATTCTTTGGTGGTACTGGAATTCTACCCCATAAATTACTATCTAAAAACCCAACGACCAAGTCAAGTTTTCCATACTGAGAGTTGATTTTGTAGCAACATTTCTTGTGGACGTTAGGCTCATAAATAAAACAAGAGCCCCTAAAGCTGCCTCAATTTTATGTACAAAGTAACTTCATAAAGAATCTGCTGATTCTATACAATTGTTTAGAGATTAGGAAGTAATTCCAGGGCACACACTGCAACGTGTCTGATGTTCCAACCAGGTCAACCCAGCTCTGCCGGCAGGCAGGAGGGTGAATTTTCATCTTTTGGAGGTGACGTGAAATGAACACAAGATCCCACCTTCTGTGAGTCAGACCCACTTCCTCAGGAGAGTGGAGGGGGGATGTCCCTGGCCTCTCAGACCCCCCCCCCAGGAACTCTGAATCTGTCCACAGAGCATACAACAGGCCTCGGGGTTCCCTGGAGCCCACATGCATGCCCAGATTTATAATCTGCAAAAATACATCCTTCACGCTCCACTTTGTCAAAAACATCTGAGCAGAGTCTTTGTTCATCACAACAAATGGCCATCCTTCCCATCCAGATTCTATAGATCCCCTCAAAATATCTACCCAGTACCTGTGAATAGGATCTAATTTGGAAACAGGGCTCTTTGCAGATGAAATTATGTGGAAGATCTTGAAATGAGATCATCCTGGATACAGGGTGGGTTGTAAGTCCAATGACGCTGTCCTTACAAAGGAGAGATAGACACAGGGGAGAAGGCCCCATGAAGACAGAGGGAGAGGATGGGTGATACCACCACAAGCCAGGGAACGCCAAGAGCTGTGAGACACCAGCAGCTGCTGGACACAAGCCTGGGACAGTCCCTTCCTCAGAAGCCCCAGAAGGAACCTACCCTCCTGATACCTGGACTTTAGACTTCTAACCGTCAGAACTGCCAGAGAAGAAATGTCTGTTGCTTTAAGCCACCAGGTTTATGGAAATCTGTTGCAATGGCCCCGGGAAATACATGCAGGTTCTAACCCCCAAATGCCAGGAAGACTGGGGAGTCATTTCTGCCAGCACCTCTCTCCTACCCTGAAACCTCAGCAGAGTCCTGAGTGTGCAGCTCTATGGGGCCAGGTGGTTGGCTTTCCCAGAGACACAAGAGGGAAGGCGAAGGAAAAGCACTGTTTGGTCCCCTGAAGAATGAGGCTCATGCTTCATAAGAATGTTGGCAATAATCAATGCTGTGATTTCCCCACAGCTACCCTCTGGGAGGAACGGACCAGGTAGTGGCCATGGATGACTGAAAGCCACCTGCATGGTTTAAAGCCATTCAGAAAATGTTGAGAAGGGCAGCAACTGTATCAAGAATAAGTGTCCAAAAGCTGGAGTAGGCACACTCACGTGACAAGAGCTAAATCTAAACATCCACATTTTGGCCTTTAAAATCAACTGTACGATGATGAAACGGAGGAGACAAGCCAAAAGGGAAAATACACAATAGGTTTAGCTGACATAAGCTCGTAATGAATCACCACAGAACTGCCTGGACACTTATGCAGATCTCAGGATGCATTCACAAAGGTATGGCCTTGAGGACATGGGAGGGTGTCACCTTGCTCCACCCTGGCAGGTGGGGACCCCAAAGGAGGCTTGCCTACTTCAGTGCTAGGTGCCAAATGGTGGGAGGAATGAGCTGCTGCATCTGAAGAAGCAAGCCTTAGCAGGAAGGACAACAGTTTCAATGACTAAAAGGCTGTCCTGTGCTGGAAGGAGACCTGAACCATCCTCCTGAAGGACCGACTAGTGAGTAGAAGGTTCTGGAATTAGTTTGATGTGAGGGAAAAAATCTCCAGCTGGGCCAGTCCAGTAGGAAACAAGTGCCCCAGGGCAGGAGCAGTCAAGGCTGGGGGCGTTGCTGAGGGAGAGCCGGCTGACACCGACACCCAGCAGGCCCCCTTACAGCGTAGGGGCTGCCAAGGCCCCTTCTGCTGAACCACCTAATTTTCTTCTTCTTCAACCATCCCAAACAGATGGGTGTTACATTTGGCCAGGACTGTTTCCAACAGCAATTCCAAATATAAGTCCGAATACATTCCAGGCCTTCTGTGCTGTGGTTATTTTAGAAGGCTGCTGGGCGGCCCCATGCCGG